GAAAGGAGATGGTGCAAGACAGGTTGGGTGAAAGAGCTGTGTGCGACAGTGTTGTGTGTGTGTAAGTTTGTGTATGTAAAAGTGTTGTGTGTGAAAGAGTTGTATGTGACAAAGTTGAATGAGTAAGTTGTGTGTGAGTAAGTGGTGTGGGGACAAGTTGTGCGTCAACTGGGACCCAAGCGCGCCACCAGAGCCAGCCCAGTGCCATAAGTGCCACGCAGGGCCTCCCACGCAAAGTGACGATCCATGTCACCAAGTGCCACGCCTGCCACGCAAAGTCCAAGTCCATGTCACCAAGTGCCACGCCTGCCACGCAAAAAGCCGCGGCGTCCACCCCGTCCACTCCGGCCCAAGCGCGCCACCAGAGCCAGCCCAGTGCCATAAGTGCCACGCCTGCCACGCAAAGTGACGATCCATGTCACCAAGTGCCACGCCTGCCACGCAAAGTGAAGGTCCATGTCACCAAGTGCCACGCCTGCCACGCCAAAAGCCGCGGCGTCCACCCCGTCCACTGGCCCAAGCGCGCCACCAGAGCCAGCCCAGTGCCATAAGTGCCACGCCTGCCACGCAAAGTGACGATCCCGCGGCGTCCACCCCGTCACACTCCAGGCCCAAGCACGCCACCAGAGCCAGCCCAGTGCCACAAGTGCCACGCCTGCCACGCAAAGTGACGATCCATGTCACCAAGTGCCACGCCTGCCACGCAAAGTGCAAGTCCATGTCAACAAGTGCCACGCCTGCCACGCAAAAAGCCGAAGCGTCCACCCTGTCCACTCCGGCCCAAGCGCGCCACCAGAGCCAGCCCAGTGCCATAAGTGCCACACCTGCCACGCAAAGTGACGATCCATGTCACCAAGTGCCACGCCTGCCACGCAAAGTGCACGATCCATGTCACCAAGTGCCACGCCTGCCACGCAAAGTGCAAGTCCATGTCACCAAGTGGCACGCCTGCCACACAAAAAGCCGCGGCGTCCACCCCGTCCACTCCGGCCCATGCACGCCACCAGAGCCAGCCCAGTGCCATAAGTGCCACGCCTGCCACGCAAAGTGACGATCCATGTCACCAAGTGCCACGCCTGCCACGCAAAGTGCAAGTCCATGTCAACAAGTGCCACGCCTGCCACGCAAAAAGCCGCGGCGTCCACCCCGTCCACTCCGGCCCAAGCGCGCCACCAGAGCCAGCCCAGTGCCATAAGTGCCACGCCTGCCGCGCAAAGTGACGATCCATGTCACCAAGTGCCACGCCTGCCACGCAAAGTGCAAGTCCATGTCACCAAGTGCCACGCCTGCCACGCAAAAAGCCGCGGCGTCCACCCCGTCCACTCCGGCCCAAGCGCGCCACCAGAGCCAGCCCAGTGCCATAATAAGTGCCACGCCTGCCACGCAAAGTCACGATCCATGTCACCAAGTGCCACGCCTGCCACGCAAAGTGCAAGTCCATGTCAACAAGTGCCACGCCTGCCACGCAAAAAGCCGCGGCGTCCACCCCGTCCACTCCACCAGAGCCAGCCCAGTGCCATAAGTGCCACGCCTGCCGCGCAAAGTGACGATCCATGTCACCAAGTGCCACGCCTGCCACGCAAAGTGCAAGTCCATGTCAACAAGTGCCACGCCTGCCACGCAAAAAGCCGCGGCGTCCACCCCGTCCACTCCGGCCCAAGCGCGCCACCAGAGCCAGCCCAGTGCCATAAGTGCCACGCCTGCCATGCACCAAGTGTGTGTGCAAGTTGTGTGAGGACAAGTTGTGTGTGGACAAGTTGTGTGAGGACAAGTTGGTGAGCAACAAAGTGTGTGTGAGCAAGTTGTGTGATGACAAGATGTGTGATGACAAGTTGTGTGATGACAAGTTGTGTGATGACAAGTTGTGTGTGGGCAAGTTGTGTGTGAGCAAGTTGTGAGGACAAGTTGTGGGATGACAAGTCAAGTTGTGTGTGGGCAAGTTGCAAGTTGTGTGTGAGCAAGTTGTGTGATGACAAGTGAGCGGCGGGAGGCGGAGGAGGCGGAAGGAGGGGGAGGCGGCGGGGTACAGAACCAAAAACAAGAACCCCACACAAAGATGTGGGGAACTAGCTGAGAGCTGTGAGAACAACACGGCAGCAGATACAACAATATAGGTCAGGCAGAATACCTCCCTGCGTGTATAGAGTAATCAAAGAGTTTCACAAACTTCATGCCGTGCGCCATCATGCGCCCGCTGGTGTTCAAACTTGTGTGCTACCGCTACCTAGCTTTCGACATAGCTCTCTCTCTCTTTGAATGAAGCCCGCAAACTCCTTTTTCTGAGCAGTCCCCATTTCTATTGACGCCTTGATCTGTAGGCATTTCATGACTTTCCCATCTCGGCTTGATGTTTTGATCCAAGAATGCACCCTCTGCGTAGCCTCCTCTGTGGCACCCATCAACTTCCAGAAGAGCTCCAACTCTTTTGGGGAGGCCTTGCACGACTTAGTGGCATCTCGTGCCCTCTCCAAGTGAAACCTTTTCGGCTCGCCTTCAGGGAAGCAGCGGAAACAAGCATATACAAGGATAGTAAAAGTCAAGAAATGCATTTTATGCGCAATGCGCGAGCCTCATCCTTTTCTTTGGGGGCCCCTGGGCAGGAAACACCCTGGGCAGAATGGGCGACCACACCGAGAACTATCGACAGTAGCGAGCACCCTTTTTTTGCGCCTCGTGAATGGTCATGGAGGCGAAGGCTTTGCACAGGTCGCCAAGAAGCTCCTTTGCCACGGTGGAGAACGCACGCCCGCTGTGTGTTTTTCGATGGCTCCACTTCCCGCCTCGTCGCCTTTGCTGCCGCCGCCACCAATGGTCATTGCGGCAAACTTTTTGCATAAGTCCGCCATACATATGTAGTTATTTTTGAACTAGTTTCTATGTGTTGCTTTACTCTTGCTTCTCCCCCCCAGTATTGGAGCTTGCATCTTTCGTAGCTTGTTATTTCACAAAAATCTTGAATAATTTGGCTACAAATTTCTGCCATGTGAGGGCTCCCTTCAAGCGAAGCGCTCCGTTGATACAATAAATCATTAACCCAACTACATCACAGGAAAATAGAAAATAAAATCACTACCCTTTTAAGGAGGGGGGGCGTACCCAAATTGCAAGACACAATTTAGACGTTTTTGAGGGAGGTGGTCCTGCTAAATGTTGGCAAGCATTCATTTTTTTAACTGCGTCTTATTTGCAAGCTTTCATTTTAGTAGGTCCCCTCATTCTCTCTCTACGGGATTTTATTTCTTTTCTTAAAAAACGCAGGGGGCGTTCAATATTGCCCATTGCATTTTTGAAAAAATATGTAAGAAAATGAAAAAATGAAAAAAAAAATAGTGTGAAGGTCTGCAAATAGCTTCAGAATTGCAGAAAATCAAAAATGCAAACTGGAAGTGTGTAGGTCCACAATTGCCTGGTATTTCCAACACACTCTACACTTTTTCTACACATTTTTTATCATTTCCACATGTAGTATAGAGGTATAGAAGGCATATTATTCCTTGCAAATTACTGGAAAATTCTTGAACTTCAAATTTACCTCCTACCTACGGAAAAAACAATAGAATACAAATAAAGATCTCAAAAGGACCTCAAATGGACCTCAAAAGGACCTCAAATGAACCTTTATGGGGTCCCCATGGTAAATCCCCTTCATGTACCTACATGATCGAACTTAAACACCCTTCCGCCACGGTTCCTACCTAGCCCCCCTTATGACCCTCCAACCATAATATAATAACAATCTACACACGTGTCATGTTGATTCTAAAAGGAACTGTGGAACCTGAGGTGTGGGATGGTTACATTTTTCAATCTTAGCTTTACCTTCTTTTTCGGGCGCAAGGAACTATGGACCTTATGTATAGGATGATGACTTTTTAATCTTATATTTACCTTCTTTTTTAAGCACTTTCTGCAAGGAATTATAGGCCTCAGGTGTAGTATGGTTACATTTGACTATCTCATTTTTACCTTCTTTTTAAGCAATTTCTGCAAGGAATCAAGGCATTAAGGACCTCAGGTGTAGGATGGTTACATGGTTCTATCTTATCTCCACCTTCTTTTTTGAGCACTTTCTGCAAGGAATTGAGGACCTCAAGTGTAGGATGGTTACATTTTTTTATCTCATCTCTACCTTCTTTTTTAAGCACTTTCTGCCAGGAATTATAGGCCTCAGGTGTAGGATGGTTACATTTTTCTATCTTAGTTTTACCTTCTTTTTCGAACACTTTCTGCAAGGAACTGCGGACCTCGGACATAAGTTGATTACATCCCCACAAAGACACCTCACAAACAGTTTACAAACTGCTTGCGGACATTTAACAATTTTTACCTCCCCCCACCCCCTATCCGTAGAGTACGGGGGGGGGGGTTTGGAGGGGCGTACGGGGTGACGTATCTCTTGCGGACTTTCAACCCCCCTTCCCTAAACGTAATCTTCCGGGGCACGGTTTTTGACGTAGGAGGGGTCTAAGATACATATAGCCTTCCCCATCGGGAAAAAATACGCAGGGGTCAAAATCAAAACTGTTGCTTACATTTTTTGAACGCCCCCCTTGCTTACACCCCACGAAAAGGGTGGTGATAAAATAAACACCTACCCTCTGTTAAACTAACATAGCTATGAAAATCACCATGCTCTATAGGTAAATCATCACATGGGGCGTGTTCCATCGCCATGTTGGTTAGTTTACTGGAGGGTCAAAGATCCTAAAAGGAATCTGAACCAACCAAAAACACTCGCAACAACTACATCCCATCCTCTCAATATGAATGAAATACAGAACATGATTGGGACCCCAAAATGAATAGATCCCATACATTCCACAGCCCATCTGGAACTGTCCCAAAAATTGGGTACCCCAAGGTCCACTGCTTCATCATCATGTGCCCTATCAAAAAGTGCCAGGCTACATGGGATATTTCTGATATGTCTGAGATTTCCAGAAATTTCTGGATAAGACATGATAAGAATATCTTCCATCTTCCATGATCTTCCAAGCATCTGCTAAACCACTTCAGTCGCTGTTTATCTGCCAGCTGCGCTGTCTGCGCATCTTGCAAGGTCTCCCCCTTGCCACCCGCCACGGTCCAACGGTCACGGACCTCTGCGTTCAGAATCTCTGTGATGCTGGCGCTGGATTTCTCCAAGGCCCCCACCTTGATATCCCCGGCAGGGACATAAAGGGTTGATGAAACGGGGAAAATCCCGGAAAAAGAAAAGTTAATGGATGTTGATGGGAGTTGTGTCCAATAACAGATTTTCCAAGTGGAAGGGGACATCTGAACCGGAAACGACGGTTTACATAGTTTTACCATCCCAATAAAGTATGGAGGTTTCATTGGTTAATTGGATCTTTAACCAATCAAACACACCCAAATCAGCATTGGAACCATCCGAGTTGACTTTGCAGGACATTTATGGTGAAATCATGAGCAGAATGAGGCCCTGCCAGGAATACTCTGAATTGGTGGAATTTATGAAGCCCATTGAACTGGGGTATTCAAATATTCAATCTCTGGTTTATATTGGTTTATGGTTAATTACTGTTAATTGCAGTATTTCACTTGTGCGGTGCAGAATCCCTGCAAAAACCACAGAAGGGCTGTGAAAGGATTCAGGGGCTGGCGACTGGGGTTTAAAAATACGCTGGATGGAAGAATGGAAGAACTCCTGCATCAGTTGGTAACTAGTGGTAACTATGAAACATGTTAAATTATGGGATTATAATGAGATAAACCATACCAGTATATGGTGTTCTTTTGAGTGGGGTAATTGAAGGTATCCGCATCATACATAATCAGAATAATATTAATAATAATAATAATGATAATGATAATAGTAAATATATAATGATAATGATAATTTAAAAAAATAGTAGTAGTAACAGTAATAATAGCTAATAATAATAATAATCCAATGACAGGAACAATAGGATCATGGTAAATTATAATATTTCACTAACCTGAATTAAGGCCATTTGGGGATGATTTCCCAGCCAGGCTTGACTCCCGAACCAGTTAAACCCCCATGACTCTCTATCCATCGCGGGTTTACTGGGACTGGTAGGATGATTAGTCAGAAAATATGGGAGGCGGAAAAGATGTGTCACCAGAAAAAAAAAACTTAATCGAATGAGAGTGCTTCACCAAACTTAGGGTGTGCACACCATGAAATTTGGGGTCTCGAGGCCGTCATTGAGTCAGGATGAAGAAACCAACACTACATGTGCAGGGATAAATAAAAGATGTTCGCAGCAAAAATGGATATGGGATTCCTGGAATCCACAAAATGATAAATGGAGACAGAATCACCAAGGGGCATCTACCCCAACAGTTTTTGTTGGCTCCTCCGATTTCTCCCGCTGGCCTCGATGAAAGTTTCCAACATGCCTGAAGGTAGGATGGTAAATCCTCTGAAAGATCCCTCAAAGTTGGATTCCTCGACCACCTGGCGCTGAACAAGCGGGCCATGCGAGCAATGCAACATGGTGGAAAAACAAGAAAAACAACATCATGTATCATAGAGAAAAAGACACACACATTCATAGACAAAAAAACATGGTGGCATGGTCATCCAACCAGATCCCGCAATTTGCGCCACCCCAGTTGCTGTGTAGCATCGGCTCTGTGCGCAAGTTCATATTGCCGTGATGATCTTGATGTTGATGATCATGATCATGATCATAATGATAAGTATGATGAGGAGGAAGAGGAGTTTGAAGAGGGGAGGAAATGTGTTGTACAGCAACTAGTCTCCAATCTCGTATCCTTCCAGTCTAATCTTGGCTCGCTCGAGGTGCAACACAACCGTCCAACTTCCAGCTTTTGGAATCACCCTCAGGGGTTGGTAATGGTAAATGTGTGTAAGTGTCCCAATTTAACATCACCCAGCTGGGTTTCCTAAAATAGGGCTACCCCCAAATCATCCATTTTAGTTAGGTTTTCCCTTATAAAATTTATAAACCATCCAGCTATTGGGTACCCCCATCTCAGGAAACCACCATCCTTCCCATCCATCACACCTTGTAGATGTAGTTGCTGCCCTGCGGCCCGGCCCAGTAGATTTGCCTCTCCTGGCTGCGCCGATCGATCGGACCATTCAGCAAGGCCAACAGCGATGGCGTCACACCGTCGTCCTGGCGCTGCCGTTTCGGGATGCGCCTTTTCGATGGGCTAAGCAGCCATAATACAAGGATATGATGGATAAATATAGATATAGATATAGATATATATATATAAATAAATAGATATAGATATAGATATAGATATATATAAATAAATAGACATAGATATAGATATAGATATAGATATCAGGATGGCCGCGGAACCGAACCGGGAACCGGAAACCGGCACCAACAAGAGCCGAACCGTAATGGAACCGAACCGGCATTGCCGAAACCGAACCGGAAAGCGGTGGAACCGAACCGTCGAGGAACCGAACCGCAATGGAACCGAACCGGCAATGCAGAAATCGAACCGGAAAGTGGTGGAACCGAACCGTCGAGGAACAAAACCGTAATGGAACCGAACCGACAAGGCAGAAACCCAACCGGGAACTGGCGGAACCGAACATCCAGCCTGTCCCGAAATATCATCTTGTCTTTGATGACATGTCTTCGGCTGGCTGAACTTTTCATCCACTTTCCTTTGTCGATTGATGAAGCAGCTTCTTGTTCATTCCATGTAATTACAGGATCCGATTCCACTTCAGGGACTTGATCAGAAACAAAGACGCCCCAAATCATCCCAAATCAAAAGAGAAACAATGGGTCTGCGATGCTTTAGATATTCGTCCATCGAGACATATCAAACGGAAAGATCAACCTAAACCTGTCCAGATGCTCAGCTCACAGCACCAGAATTCGCAACACATCTCGTCCCAGCAAGCCAATGGGATCCAAAGCCTTTGCAGCTCTCGTTTGAAACCATCGTGATGAACTGCTTGTTTCTGCAGCCACCTGAGACGCTGCTTGGTCCAGCGTGTGTGGATTGTCTCTGCCTTTCACTATACTACGATATGTCTTTTCTCCAACTATATCGAAGGAAATTTAGAAGTCAAACTTCCTACAATATCGACAGACGGAAAGCAGAGGTGGGAAGAGTCAGAGAAGAGAAGAAGAGAAGATCAAAAGAGAAAGAATGAGAAGAAAGAAGATACAGGTGCGCGAAAAGGTAGGAAAGTCGGCTCTGCTTTTGATCTGTCCATATTGTCGGAAGTTTGACTTCTAAACTTCCTTCGATCAACCGGAGGTTGAACATTGTCTTGATATCCGTAGGGTCCTGTGGCATGCGTTCCTTCTTGGCTCTTAGCTTCGCATTGGCCACATTGGAATGCCTCAGGGTCGCAAGCTGCATGGACGTCCATTTAGTTCATTTACGAGCTATGTTGATGTGAGACGGGGTACGGGGTTTGGACCCATCCATCCTTCAGCCTACGAGGTGTTGCTGCCTCCCACGTTAATTATTTTGTTGGTTTATAACTGCCATTAACATCCATTAACTATAGACTATAGATATATCTACCAAAAACCCAAGTTATTGGAGTTATAAACCAAGGTAGCTAACAAACTGGGGCACAACCTTGTAGTCATGTTTACGAACTTACTTATATTTTCTTGCCACTGGTCAAATGATCATGGCTAGATATAAACACCAAATGTTTTTGAAATTGGATGCCACAGTTGGAATCAGGAACCTGTAAACATTCAGCTACGTAAACCAGGGGTTCTGGCCGGCCTCACGACACTTGCACTAGAAACAGACCCTCCGATCAGCTTGCTTCCGGCCCCAAAAATCACCCACAAGCCCCACAAGCCCCACAAGTCCGAGGATCTCCAAAGCCCTGAGGAGCTTCTTGAAGGTCTTGCGCAAGGCGTGACCATTGGAAAATTGCAGGTTTCACACCCATGAATTTTACGATAATATAATATATATATATATACATATACAGTAAAACATATATCCACCGACCCCGGCCTTCGCCAAGGCAGGGGCGGCGCCTGGGACCACCGCAGGTGTGGAACTTGTCTTTCTTGAAACAGGCATCGCAAGGCCACATCAATGGCTTCTTATGGGCATCCAAGCCTGCCGTTTGCCAGCCCTTAAACGCTTAAAACCCTTAAAACCCCTAAAACCCTTAAAATCTTGAAAACTCTGCAATAGGGTCTCGGAACGCCCAACCGCGCAGGCAAAAGCTACCCCAAGGCCACATCCATCGCTTCTTCTGGGCGGTCCAGCCTGCCGTTCGCCAGGCGTTACATGCTTCAAACCCTTCAAACGCTTCAACATTCTCTTGCATGCCTAATCCCGCAGCCAACAGGCACCCGAAGGCCACATCAATGGCTTCTTATGGGCGTCCACGCCTGCCGTTTGCCAGCCCTTAAACGCTTAAAACCCTTAAAACACCTAAAACGCTTAAAACCCTTAAAACAACCGCGCAGGCAAAAGCTACCCCAAGGCCACATCAATGGCTTCTTCTGGACGGTCCAGCCTGCCGTTCGCCAGGCGTTACATGCGTAAACCTTTCAAACGTTTCAACATTCTCTTGGCATGCCTAATCCCGCAGCCAACAGGCACCCGAAGGCCACATCAATGGCTTCTTATGGGCGTTGCCGTTTGCCAGCCCTTAGACGCTTAAAACCCTTCGTCAGGCGTTACATGCCTAAACCCTTCAAACGTTTCAACATTCTCTTGGCATGCCTAATCCCGCAGCCAACAGGCACCCGAAGGCCACATCAGAGGCTTCTTATGGGCGTCCAAGCCTGCCGTTTGCCAGCCCTTAGACGCTTAAAACCCTTAAAACCCCTAAAACGCTTAAAACCCTTAAAACTCTGCATAAGGGTCTCGGAACGCCCAACCGCGCAGGCAAAAGCTACCCCAAGGCCACATCAACGGCTTCTTCTGGACGGTCCAGCCTGCCGTTCGCCAGGCGTTACATGCGTAAATCTTTCAAACGTTTCAACATTCTCTTGGCATGCCTAATCCCGCAGCCAACAGGCACCCGAAGGCCACATCAATGGCTTCTTATGGGCGTCCACGCCTGCCGTTTGCCAGCCCTTAGACGCTTAAAACCCTTAAAACACCTAAAACGCTTAAAACCCTTAAAACAACCGCGCAGGCAAAAGCTACCCCAAGGCCATAGGGTGTCATTTAGGGTTTCTTTAGCGTTTCATTTAGATTTTCATTTAGGGTTTCTTTGGGGTGTCAATTTAGGGTTTCATTTAGAGTTGCATTTAGGGTTTCTTTAGGGTGTCAATTTAGGGTTTCAGCTAAGGTGTCAGTTAAGGTTCATTTATTTTTTTCAGAGTGTTGTTTATGGTTTCTTTGGGATGTCATTTAGGGTGTCATTTAAAGTTTCTTTAGGGTGTTACTTATGGTTTCTTTGGGATTAATTTATGGTTTCTTTGGGATTAATTTATGGTTTCTTTAGGGTTCATGGTTTCTTTAGGGTTCATAGTTTCTTTAGGGTTCATAGTTTCTTTAGGGTTGATTTAGGGCTTCATGTAGGGTTTCTTATCAGGATTTCTTGAGGGCTTCTTTGGGTTTCACCTAGAGTCTCGATAGGGTTTCATTTAGAATACAAACAGAACAGAATAAAGCAAAAGAAAATGAAAAACAAGGTCACGCGGCCTGTAACGGCCCTGCTGTTTTTTCATCTTTTCATTCGCAGATTTTTGTGTCTTTCGCAACCCTCACAGCGTTTTCTTGGTCTGCCCATTTGTTCAGTAGCTCATTTTGGTATGCGTTTTACAGTGTTTTATGTCTGTGAAGTCGTAATTCCAATGCGTTTATTCATGATTTTGAATTCCTGAACGCAAAAAAAACTGGAATTTTTCTTAACGACAACATGGAGAACAGCTCAGGCAGTCCAAGTCTTGTGCGCTAACTTTCCTAAGCCTTTCAGCTGGTGCTTTCCAAGTGTATTGGATCGCCAGACAAAACTGTACACATACTCGGCAATTTTTTCATTCAGCAGTCCATTGGGTGTCTTAGAACACAGTTCCTTGGGGATATACCGTTTCAATGCTGACCATTTCTTGTCAATGCACTGCGTGCCATGCGTCTTGTGTCCCCGTTTACGCGTTTTACGCGTAAATTCCATTTTGACATGACTGACCTGAAAACATTTTCGGCCCAAGGACTTACTGTGACTGGCCCATGATTTGTTTCCATCTGCAAAAATATGAGACTTTGGCAATGTACGTTCTAACAACTGACATGATTTCACATCATTCAATGACTCTACCGGAGGGCGTCCAGAAGGGCTTGTCATGACATGGGGAAGCTCAGAGATCAAAAAGCGGCCGCGCTGACCGCGTTCCAGAGCTCCCGCCCAGCGCCAAAACAGCAGAAGGTATTTCTTCTTCTCTTTGGGGTGCGAGCCGCGCCATTGAGCAATCTCTTGCTGAAAATTCCTGACGGGTTCAGGTGTCTTGCTGATTTGTGTCATTGTTCTGAACTTGTTTCTAACGAACAATCTTGTGGGATGCCGCCAAGCATGTATTCAAAGAACATGGACGCCAAGGCGCGCATTCTTCAGGGAAATAGGCACTTTGCGTAAAGACGTCGCGTCCACTTCCACATGGCCTTTCAGCTTCCATTTTTGCTCCTGGCCGACACCATTGGTAAGCACACTTTTGCCACATGAAAGCTGCCAAGAGTCACTGACATGCTGGACGGACAAAAAATAATCATTTGCGACCATTTTCGCATGACAGACATTCCTCATGTCGCGTGGCTACTCGTTAATGATTTATCGCAGTCCTGACACATGGCTCGACCTTCTTGGTTTTCGAGGAGTCGCAAGCAGTGCATGACCTTGCAGACTGTGTCATAGTCCTTGCAGACCTGAGTGAATCGCGTGGTCTTCAATGACATGATTACTTTCATGTAATATACAACAACCTATGGGAAAGTCAACGCTGAAACTTCTCAGTTTTGGCCAGGCACCATGGGATGAGCATGTCCTGGTCGAGGGTAGGTCTTGGACAAGTATGCATGTATGATGCCGAGAAGGGAGCTAGGATGCAGAAAGGTGAAGCGCTTCATGCCTACCAGCCAATTCTGGAACTTCATCACATTGACAAGCGTCTGGCATTCCCAGTGGGTACAGCGATAGAACAAGCTGTCAGCACATTGCACATCATACCTCTTCACAGGTCCAAGCATTTGACCCACTTTGCAAGTGGAACACCTGTCCGGGACTGTGAGAAAGCCCAAGGCAGTCAAAGTAGCCAATGCAGCCTCTCCCTTCTGCCATCGTTCATCCAGAGCGTATGTTCGATCCTTGCGATTTTCAGTTTGAAACACATCGCCCGAGTACGAGCGTCGAGCTCGTTGCTTGCGAACTTTCTGAGACACTGCCGGCTTCTTCTTTCCTGGCTTGCGCAC